GGCCTTAGACTAAGAATAGTTTAAGGATATTATTGAATGAGGATGTTGAATGTTGAATATGAATATTGAATGACGAATGTTGAATATTGATTATTGTATGTTTGAACTGAATACTCTGTGCATGATATCAAATGATTTGATTATGAATTTGGATTCAATTTATATGGATGTTCGACGCATTAGATATGCTTACTCAGCTTCACCGCTGAGCGTGTAGTATGTTTTATTTGCTACACGTAGGTTAATAGAAAGAATGATGTGACATGATTCTGGAGGCAGACGGAGGCGAGATTGTCGGAATGGATGTGATGGTTTTGAATTAAAGAACATAAATAAATTATTTTTGTAATTATGATTTGTTAAGCTTCCGCAATATTGAAAACTCCGCACTGTATATGTTATGTATTATCGTGATAAATAAAAGTGTTTGAAAAGTTTTAAATTTTACGATTACCAAGTTAATACTTTAATCCGAAAGGGGCTGCAGACCTGGACGGATTAGGGTGTTACATATATTTTGAGAGAAAACTAAGTGTTTTCAAGAGAGTGTTCTTGTCATCCATAGAGCTTAATCTTTTCTCATTTCTACTCTTGTGAGAGTTATTGCTGAGAGGTTGAAGAAGATTGTTCTTCTTGTTGTTCAAGACTTATGTGACTTAAGTCTTGGTTGTGTTGAGGCTTGTGAGATTCAAGTTCTCGGTTTGTAAACGGTTTGTCAAGCACCCGTTGAAGCTTGATAAGTGGTAGCTTCGAGAGAGTCTCTCGGGGAATTGGACTAGCCACAAGGTGGTGAACCAGTATACATCGGTGTGTTCTTTGCCTTCTCTCTTTTATTTCCGCTGCACTTACGTTTATTTTATTTATCCTGCGAAAATCGGTAATCATTCTCAACAACTCTATTCACCCCCCTCTAGAGTTGCACGCCTTGTCTAACAAAAATTACTAGCATAGTTTTCTCTAGAACACTCTTCATTGTTCGTGTGTCTCAACTGGAGGTCATATACTTTTGTGGCTAGCTCTTGGATTAATCCATCAACCTACACATATCGTTGCTTGCTCGCCAAGAAAGGTATATTTCTAAACAATAACTTATAATAATCATAAGAGGTCCTCGGTGGATCTACGTTTGGACGATAAAATTTTATATTTCCGCTACCCTCTCCAAGCGTAGAATCCAACAGTGGTATCGGAGCTGACTTATGAGAATGATAAGTTTTGTAGGTCTAATTGATGTTTGAGTTTTTGATAGTTGATAAAATAAAATATATGTGTATATATTTTTGAAAACTATCCAAAATTCAAGAAAGTGCCAAAATATGATTCTGGAATTTATAAAATTTGAGATGATTTTTGAATTAAATTTTAAATTTAATTTTATTTTCGGTTCAATCGGTTAAAAACTATTTCAACCAATTAAAATATTTCTAAAATTCAAAAATTAAATTTTATTAAATCTGAGACTTTCAAATATGATTTAAAGACCTCTGGATATTTAAACTTAATTTTCGTAATTGATTTCCTAATATATAAAGTAATGTTTGATTTGTAGTTAATTTGATTAATTACAAGATAAATACAAAATAAATTATGGAAAAATAATTTTAAATCATTATGAGACTTTAAAATATGATTTTAAGACCTCTGAAAATTTATAATTAATTTTCGGAATTTATTTTCTAATTTATAAAGTATTAGTTGATTTGTGGTAAATTTATTAATTACAAGATAAATACAAAATAAATTAAGGAAAATAATTTTAATACTTCTGAGACGTTAAAATATCATTTTAAGTAATCTGGAAAATTAAAATAAACTTTCGGTTTTTATTTTCTATTTTACCCGATTTAAATAATCTTATTCAGAATTAATATAGATTAAACCGAAAAGGACAATTAAAATTCGGGATTATAATTTTATGAACTTGAAAATATGATTTTCAGACTTCATAAAAGTTTTTATAATTAAATTCGTAATTTAAGTATTTATTTATTAATTTTTGGGAAAAACAGTTTTGGTGATTCAGTATTTAATTCCCGAATATTTAATAATTAATTTTAAATTATGGAAATTTAATATTTGGTAAAAATATCATAATATGCTGAGAATACGAATTTTTGGAACAATTATGGTACACGAAAAATAATTTTAGAATTTTTTTATGGATTACCAAATAATAAATAGAAAGTACCAAAAATAAATTTAAGTAAAATCTGGAAAATTTTGTTTTCAGATTGTACATGAGTCAAAAACTTTATTTTTGGAAAGTATTGATTTTTGGAATATTTAGAAATGTAGATATTTTTATGATTATGTTTATCTACTTGCCTCAAGGATCCAAAATTTATTATGTACTTAAAATACCCTCCTAGATATTTTTGTAGATGTGTTTATTCTCCTGCCTCAAGGATCCAAAAGTTATTATGTAACTAAAATTAGGGGTAAAGCTGCGTACATCCAACCCCCCACCCAGCCACAAGCCTGAGCCTTTGAGGAACTGGGATAATGTTGTTTTTGTTGTATGTAAACTGCAATACAACAAAGTGTGACGGAGGAAGTTGTTTACTACTAGGATTCGAATTCTGGTGAGAAAAAGTATATAAAAAACAGCGCCAACTGATTTTAGCTAATTCTTAGAATCTGAATCCCGCTGAAAAAATTTAAACCAAATGAGCTTTTATTATGCAAGGATGCAAGTGGTAAACCATTTTTGCTGATAGCATAATCTTTTTCACATTTAATGCAATAATATTGTGTTGGCCAATGGGGAAAAATCTTACCCAACCATGTTGCAACTGAAACTAGACTGCAAAGGAGTATGACAATAGAGATTGTTCAATACAATAGATGAATCTGATCCTCTCTTAAGCTGGAAAATATTAGAGGGAAGGAACAATATCATCATGAAAGCATACAATCCAAACATGGAAATTGATTCCTACATTAATTCAGCTAGAACCTCAATGACAATGCACATTCCCGATCGATCGCTCTCATCTCAAATATCATTTATCCCTTCCACACTCTGAGAGAGAAAAGTTAGGGAAACTTACGGACAACAATTGTAACATTGGATAAGCATATACAAATAAGTGATTCAGCAAAGTCGAGAAATATCAGATATTACTAAGACAATTAGCCGAACATCACAAAAGTGAAGAATTAAAATTCAGGAAATATGCTAACAAGATTATTGTTTATTATTTAAAAAATAAGGTTACAAGAAAAATCAAATCTGATCCAGCCAAAACCAGAAAATTAACCCAATAAGAACAACGATGGAACCAGTCAAGGCAATGGCTCACTGATCAGCTTAATCAGATCAATAATCAAAACAGTCATGCCACCTATGTTAGAATAATAGACCAACGCTAGAGGGGGGTGAATAGCGTTTGATCGAGAAATCGCAGGAATTAAAAAAAATAAAAGAGAAGTAAAGAGAAGAGTAAGAGGCACAACGAATTTACCCTGGTTCACCACAACTTGTGGCTAATCCAGCCTCCCGAGAGACTCTCTCGAGCTACACTACTATCTCGTTAAGCTTAACGGTGCTTAACAAACCCTTACAACTTGAGAATTCGAGTCACACGAACCTCAACGAATCCTTTGAAGGAAACAGACCTTCCTTCGAATCAAGCGAGAGAAATAATTTCTCTCAACGTGTCTTAGAACACAAATACACTCAAGAACGAGACTCTCTTTTAGAGAAGACTAGTGTCAACCCTGTGCTTCGCACGGGCTCATATACATTCTAAAATTTTGACATTCTATAAATATAATTTAATTTATTTTAAATGAATATTTTTTCACTCTAAGATATATACAGAGTATATTTTTTAAATAAAAACTATACTTTAAATATTGATGTACATGCACTAAAAATTCTATAACTATTTAATTTAAAACATATTAAATTAAATAAACCATAAAAATGCCAAAAACAATTTAATATCTTTGATGGTGAAATATTTTTTCATTTTTCTGAAAGTGAAAGATTTTTAAAATTAATAATAAAGAGTTTTATACATACTCTTCTTTAAAATTTTACAATCAATATGCATATTTAAAATACGGAGTAAATTTTACAATGGTGAAATATATGTTTATAGAATTGTTAGAAAATGTTAAATTTTATACAAAATATAATCAAAGTAATGTTTTTTAATGTTAAAAAATAATATTCATTTAATATAATACAATAAAATATATTAAAAGATCCTCTTAAAAATAAGTTTAATGGACCAACGAAATACTTCCACCTCATACATTAGTGCACATGTGGATGCACATGTGGCATGCCACATGTCAACACCACAAATAATAAACTCAACTTTACATATATATATATATATAGGATAGGATATTGAGTAACCTAAGTACGCTCAAGAACAACTCAAACTTCACACGAATTGGCTCTAAAACGCTATGGAAAAGAATGTTGTTTGAATGCAATGAAAGTATGAGAATTGTGAAGTGAATTGGTGCATATCATCAGCTTTCTTCAACGGCTTTATTTTCCTCAGCCTATTTAATCCCTCATTCTCCTTCATTTCTATATACACCTCTTGCACTCCAATATATTCTTTGAGCTATATTCATCCTTTGCTTCATCTTCCTCATCAAATATTATTTTTGAGAGTTAGAAATATTTTCTTTGAGTGCTAAAGAAGTTGTCATCCATAGAGCTTAAATTCTTCAACACTACTTTGCTCAATTGTGTGAGCTTTCATTCTTGTGTTGTAAACTCAATCTTTTTGAGTGTTGTTCTCAAGACTTGTGTGACTCAAGTCTTGTTGTTGTAAGAAAGTGAGGCTTGTGTGATTCAAGTTCTCAAGTTGTACCGGTTTTTCAAGCACCGTTGAAGCTCGAAGATAAGTAGGACTTTCGAGAGAGTCTCTCAGAAGACTGGATTAGCCACGAGGTGGTGAACCAGTATAAATCTCGGTGTTCTTCTTTCCCTTACTCTCTTTATTTATTCCTGCGATTCTGTTATTTCACACACGCGAAAAACGCACATTCTTGAAAACAACTCTATTCACCCCCCTCTAGAGTTGCACATTTGTCTAACAATTGGTATCGGAGCAGGAAGTTCTTCGAATACGTTATTTTTCAGGAACCAAAAGATCAAATGGCATCAAGAATGTTCAACGCAAGAGTGAACGAGGGACAATCAACCACGAGGCCACCGTTGTTCGATGGAACCAACTACTCATATTGGAAGGAGAGGATGAGAATCTTTATCCAATCCAACGACTACAAGCTGTGGTTGATTGTGAAGAACGGCTGCGGAGTCCCGATGAAGAAAGTCGGTGAAGTCAATGTTCCCAAAACCGAAGAAGAGTTCACCGACGAAGATTGCAAAAAGATGGAGCTTAACGCCAAGCCAATAAACATGATTTATTGCGGTGTTAACGCGGATGACTACCGCAAAATCTCGCGGTGTGAAACCGCAAAACAAATGTGGGAGAAATTGGAGGTCACCTACGAAGGAACCGCGCAGGTTCGGGAGGCCAAAATTGACCATCTCACTCACGAGTATGAACTCTTTTCAATGAAGGAAAATGAGAAGATTGAGGAAATGTTTGAGAGATTCTCTAACATCATCAATCCCCTCAATCTTCTCGGGAAGACATACACCGACCGAGAGCTCGTGAGATAGGTGCTGCGAAGCCTATCCCCCAAATGGCGTTCAAAGGTGGACGCAATCGAAGAAGGTCGTGACTTCCAAACAACGACCTATGATGCTCTTCGAGGTAATCTTATTACCTACGAAACCACCCAACTCTCAAAGGTGGTTGAAGAGAGGAACAAGAGGTCTATTGCTCTACCCACAACAACATCAACCCACAACAACGTTGATGATGAAGATGATGACAGCGACGACACCGACCTCGGACTCTTTGTCCGAAAATTCAAGAAGATGATGCTCAAGAAGGGAGCCAAGAAGAACACTCCACCCAAATTCTATGGGTGTGGTGAAATTGGACACATCAAACCAATGTGCCCAAAGCTCAAGAACGAGAAGGACAAGAAGGCACCGAAGAAGCAGCGTGCCTACATTTCTTGGGAGAACGACGGCTCCGGGAGTGAAGACTCGGAAACGGAAGAAGTGGCCAACTTGTGTCTCATGGCCATTGAAGATGGTGATACATCAAAAGAGGTAAGTGATCAAGAACCTTCTCCCAATGATCCTTNGGAATTGGTGCCTAGACCTAATGATCATTCCGTTATTGGCACAAAATGGGTGTTTCGTAACAAACTCGATGAAAATGGTATAATCACTAGAAACAAAGCTAGGCTTGTAGCTAAAGGCTACAATCAAGAAGAAGGCATTGATTATGAAGAAACTTATGCACCGGTTGCACGTTTAGAAGCTATTCGTTTATTGCTTGCATTTGCATCTACAATGGATTTTAAACTTTATCTAATGGATGTTAAAAGTGCCTTCCTTAATGGTATCATTCAAGAGGAAGTGTATGTCGAACAAACCCCGGGTTTCGAAGACTATGAGTTTCCCGAACATGTCTTCAAACTCAAAAAGGCGCTTTACGGTCTCAAACAAGCACCTCGTGCTTGGGATGAACGGTTAAGCAAATTTCTTTTGGACCATGAGTTCAAACGGGGTCAAGTCGACACTACTCTTTTTATCAAGAAAGATAACCAAGACATCCTTTTGGTTCAAGTTTACGTAGATGATATCATATTCAGTGCTACTAACGAGGCTTTGTGCAGGGATTTTTCCGATATGATGCAAAGTGAATTTGAAATGTCAATGATGGGAGAATTAAAGTTCTTCCTTGGGCTGCAAATTAGACAACGCAAAGAAGGAACATTCGTGTGTCAAACAAAATATTGTAGGGAATTGCTTAAAAGGTTCGATGTTACCGAATCCAAATCCATTGACACACCAATGAGCACCTCTTGCTATCTCGACAAGGATGAAAAAGGTAAAGATGTTGACATCAAGCGCTACCGAGGTATGATCGGCTCTTTACTTTATCTTACCGCGAGTAGACCGGATATCATGTACTCCGTTTGTATATGCGCTAGGTATCAATCATGTCCTAAAGAGTCGCACTTGGTTGCGATCAAAAGGATAATGCGATATCTCGCGGGCACCAACTTACATCCAGAAACCAATCCCAAAGGTTCAACATGTCATCTTGTTGGCTATTCCGACTCGGATTTTGCAGGTTGCAAACTCGATAGGAAAAGTACCAGCGGTACTTGCCACTTATTCGGTCATTCGCTAATCTCGTGGTTTAGTAAGAAGCAGGTTAGTGTTGCACTTTCCACCACCGAAGCGGAATATGTCGCTACGGGAAGTTGTTGTGCCCAAATTCTTTGGCTAAAAGAACAACTAGTGGATTTCGGCCTTATACTGGATCACATCCCTATTAGGTGTGACAATATGAGCGCTATTAGTCTAACGAAGAACCCCGTTCTCCACTCGAGGACTAAGCACATAGAAATTAGGCATCACTTCATACGAGATTACGTCCAAAAGGGAGATGTCACAATTGAGTTTGTTGAAACGAAACATCAATTGGCAGACATTTTCACGAAACCCCTTAGTAGGGAGAGTTTCTTCCACATTCGGAACGAACTTGGAATTTTGGATATCTCTATGAACTAATCCAATCTTTTTATTGACTATACTAATTTGAGCGTCGGAGGCGCGATAAATTTTTTTTGCAGGTATCTCTTCCCTTGGTATTTAACCGAATTGGACTTGATGATTTTTTTTGTCAAACAAGCTTTAATCGATTACTCCTCGAAGAGAAATCGATTAGTCGCCTCTGTCCCTCTTAATCGATTACTCGATTCCTTTTAATCGATTAAATTCCGAAAACGTCTTTAGCGCTGATTCATTTTTAAATCGATTAATTTTGTTCAATTAATCGATTAGACTCATCTGTCCATCTTAATCGATTAACCATCTCTGTTTAATCGATTAATAGCTTGAAAAGAGACGTTTTGGTTCTGCTTACTTCTAATTGATTAATAAGCTTAACTTAATCGATTAGCCTCGGCTGTGTTCCCTAATCGATTAAATACTTGTGTTTAATCGATTAATAGTCGATTTTTTGCCTTATATCACACCCCATCTTCGTCTTCTTCGCCATTCCCTTTTTCGAATCAGAGAAACCCTAGCTTCTTCCCTTCTCAAATTTTCTCAATCTTCATCATAAACTTCTCAAATTTCTTCCATTTTTTTCAAATTTCATCAATTTCAAAAAGGAAAAATGCCAAGGTGCAAGAACGCTTCCTCGGGTCAAGAAACCGCGGCAGAGGAGAATGAGAGGCCATGGCGTCGTGAAGGGAGCAAGTACATTCACATACAAACGGGTCTCGCCTTCAACACTGGGGCTTCAGTCGAGAGGTTCTACAACACCTTCCTGACGAAGGAGATTGTCTCTCCTAAGATCGTGAACAAGGACCTCTTCAAATCGGCGACCTATTCCCCGAGTAAGTCTCTGTTTCTTTAGCAAGGTTTGCTTCGTTTCATTCATTTGACGTATGAATTCTTTTGTCCAAATCTTATACGTCAATTTTATGCAAATCTTCATACCACTAAGGGAGGTTTGCCATCTCTCATTTCCTATGTTGACGGCAAAACCGTTTTCATTGACGGTGCCGGTTTGACTTCTTTGTTTGAGCTTCGTCGCGGTGAAATTACCGAAAACTTGGATGAAACATTCCAAGATGAAGCAATTTGGCGACAACTCGGGTTAGATCATCGTGACATCAAGTTTAGAAATTCTAGCAACCCGAGTGTCATTAATCTCACTTTAATTCAATGCGTCCAACAATACATCTTCTCATATGTTTTGTTGCCCCGTGATTCGAACCATGACGTTGTCAACAAGGACGATATTCGTTTGTTCGTTTGTTTCACGTCCTGTTGAACGATGTCAAATTTGATTGGGTTCACTTCTTTATCGTTGCACTTAGCGATGGCACTCGTTTTTCCCATCTCCGTTTTGCCATCCCCATTATGCATATTCTTGCTCATTGCAAAATAGACTTTACTCGGGACACTCAGGTGCCGGTCAAGAAGACGTGTTTCATCACTGAAGCCAAGTTTCCCGGATCATGTATCGAGAGGAGGGCGATGCTGCACTCAATCTGGACCTGATAGTCGCCGAAGAAGAAGAGAGCCAAAACGAAACTCAAGCTGAGTCATCTCAAGCCGGAGGATGTCGAGCCACGGAGCGCGTCACTCGTCAACGGAGGACTCGTCCAAGAGAAGAAGCACCGGAACCTTCTTGGGTGAAGAAGATCTTCGATACTCTCACATGCATCCGAGATGACGTTCGCCAGCTCAACGAGAGGATGACTCGTCTTGAGCAATCTCGCTTCTACCATGGCCCGCGTCACAGTTTTGGCAGAGGAGCTCGTCCGGCGAATTCTCTTTGATTGTTATTTTTCTTTTCCTCTTGACTCATTATGATACATTGTTATTTGTTATGACTCTTTTGGTGGATGATGATGTTTCCTTTCGATGATACTAGTTGATATTAACTGCTTCTGTATTAATATCATTGTTGGTTTGGCAATATTGTTCTTATTTAGAACATATTGTCCCTTTGTGGCATTTTTTTAAGAGTTCTCTTTTAAAGAAAACTCTTGCCTTCAATATCCCGGCATTGTTTAAGGGGGAAGTTTATCGGTTGATAATGCCAAAAGGGGGGAGGAAGGATAGTTGAAATTTTTTTTCCGCTTATTACTCCGATGATTTTTTTTACTGCACTTCTCTAACCTTGCTGGGGGAATTATTCTTAAAAGGAAGTAATTTCTGAACTCTTACTTTGCTCTTTCTCAACTATGTTTGTCATTATCAAAAAGGGGGAAATTGTTGGACATGAGTTCAAACCCCTTTTCTATTTCTTCTGGAATATTTTTTTTGTTTTGATGAATGACAAACAGGATGATTAATTTCAAGCTGATCGAAAATTTATTTTCGTATCGAGAAAAGCAAAGAAGGGTATCAAGAAGTTTACGGCGATATAAATCGATGACCACCCCTACGCAGATTTTTTTTGAAGTGAAGTGAAGACTCCGAAGATTTTTTTTGTCTAGGAATATTTGTAAGGATTACAATATTTTCTGCACAAATAAATTAAATTTCTGAGGGATAAAATTATTATTTTTTGAGTCAGTTGAAAAATTACTTTTCCTCTGTCTAAAATATTTTATTGAGTCAGTTTCAAAATAAGTGTGTCAAAATTTCTTAAAAATATTCTTTTTAAGATTACACATTTTTTTTGGTAAGAAAAATATACTTTAAATATTTTTTCTTATACATCGTTTGATAAACAAAATAATTTTTGGACTCATTTTTTCTCCCCTATTCAAATTCATTGAATAAGGGATATTATTTTTTTGAGGAGCGTTTTGTTATTCTCGTTGTCTCAAACAACGAATATAAAGCCAATGCCCTTCTCATCGCACTTGGCTTGGGCCCTTCATGTTTGCACATTATTTTTTACTTTAATCGATTAATTTATGTAAAATAATCGATTAGATCCAATTTCTCAGCGCTGGATTCCTCAAGCCAATAGACTTAATCGATTAAATTTGTCCATTTAACCGATTAGTTTAAACAGAGCCATTTAATCGATTTTTCTCTCCTTTTTAATCGATTAATTCCACTTTTGGTCTCAAGCCTTTTCGCTTCTGTACACTTTAATCGATTAAAATTCCTAATTTAATCGATTAATTCTGTCTCGTGCATATCATCAGCTTTCTTCAACGGCTTTATTTTCCTCAGCCTATTTGATCCCTCATTCTCCTTCATTTCTGTATACACCTCTTGCACTCCAATATATTCTTTGAGCTATATTCATCCTTTGCTTCATCTTCCTCATCAAATATTATTTTTGAGAGTTAGAAATATTTTCTTTGAGTGCTAAAGAAGTTGTCATCCATAGAGCTTAAATTCTTCAACACTACTTTGCTCAATTGTGTGAGCTTTCATTCTTGTGTTGTAAACTCAATTTTTTTGAGTGTTGTTCTTAAGACTTGTGTGACTCAAGTCTTGTTGTTGTAAGAAAGTGAGGCTTGTGTGATTCAAGTTCTCAAGTTGTACCGGTTTTTCAAGCACCCGTTGAAGCTTGAAGATTAGTAGGACTTTCGAGAGAGTCTCTCGAAAGACTGGATTAGCCACGAGGTGGTGAACCAGTATAAATCTCGGTGTTCTTCTTTCCCTTACTCTCTTTATTTATTCCTGCGATTCTATTATTTCACACACGCGAAAAACGCACATTCTTGAAAACAACTCTATTCACCCCCCCTCTAGAGTTGCACATTTGTCTAACATTCCCAGCGATGGTTGCGCCTTCCCATCGCTGGGTTCCCATCGATGGGGTAAAGTCCCCATCGCTGGGTAAGGCCGTTCTGCCTTGTGTTGATTTTGCACCAAGGCTTTAACAGCGATGGGTAGAACTTCCCATCGCTGTTTGGCATGGTTCTGGAACTTGGTTGGGCTAAAGGACCGCTTACCCATCGATGGGTAGTTCTTCCCATTGCTGGGTGGGTGGTTAGTCAAAAACCCATATTTTTGCCTTAACCACGGCCTAGCCAACCAATGCAAAAACCGACCGAAAAATCCAAAGTTCTCCAAAATAAAAACCAAGTGTTCAAATCACTTATTTGATGTATTTGGCTAAGAAATCAAGTGAGACACTTTAAAAAGCACGTCATTTGAGTAAAAACCACGGCTAGCCAAGTTTATGCCGTTTTGCGTGGTTTTTGCCAAACGACCAAAAACGAAAGGTGGTTTTCAAGGTGTTTTTGTTAGAGAACTGTTTAAACATTACAAGAAGTTAAAAATAGTCATAAAATGTTGAAAACCACTTGGTTGGTTCGGACCCCAAAAACCAATACCGATAACCGAATGCCAATCGCCGGTTTCTGAAAGCCGAACGCCGGATGGCTTGGTTTTTGGTTTGGGCGAACACCAATTGTTTTTGATGAATTAAACATGTTTGATAAACATTTTTATGATTTAAGAAATGCAATGAAAAGAATTTAGCCTTAAGAGCCAAGGTGTAAAGATTGGGTCGGTCTTGATCACAATAAAGAATCGACTCAACGACATTAAGACTATGGTCTTCGTTCTTGGTCTTCTTTTAGCTCTTGTTCTCATCATCGTTCTTCGCCTTGTATGTTCAATGTTCTTTCTTGATCACGGCGGTTTGGCATTATCAAAACGTGTCACAAAAACGAACACGGCTTTAGTACAAAAACGTGACAAACCCGTGTTTCAATAATTTCCCCCTTTTTGATAATGGCAAACAAGACGAGGTTATGCATAGGAGGATAATTTTAAGACTTAAAAAAATGTTCCCCCTTAATAAATATAATTTCATTTTCAACAAAGTATTTGTGATGAATAAGAGGTTAAAAAAAATTCCCTCTCAATTTATGCATAACCTTTATATCTTCCCCCTTTTGACATTAACAAAAAAAGCAAAAAGTAAACTTTAGAATTAAAAGTAAACTTTTATTCATTAAAACAAAAGGGAAATGCGAAATACAACGGAATGAGAATTTAAAAAAACAATTATATTAAAAGAGGAATAAGAAGAGTCTTGGAATTGGCTTCGTCGTCCTCGTCGTCATCCTCGACGTCCATGGGATCGCCGTCGACCGCGTCCTCAAAGTCAACCTCGTCGGGGGAGGAGGACGGAGTGTAGGAGTCGTCGTCCTCATCCTCGCCTTCAAAGTTTTGGCTGAGAATGGTGCTGTCGAAGGGCGGCGGGACGTAGTTGATGCCTCGGAAGAACGCCGTCATGTCGGTGATGTTGGCGTTGCAACGTCCCGTCCATCCTCTCCAAGTACTGCCCCATGCCGTCTACGGTGATGGTTAGCCGATTCAGGGTGTCGGCTATGGACTGCAACGAGGCCCAAGCGGGAGTGGGGGCAGGGGCAGGGGCACGACTCGGTCTGGCGCTGTCTCGGGTTCCGGACTTCTTTTTGAAGGTGTTGTCGGCGATGACCCAAGGCTTCGTCATCTTCGTGCTCGGCCCAACAATGTGGATGTCGGCAGAGACGATGAGGTCCATGACGAGGAAGGCGTACGACAAGCTCCACTCGTTGATGATGGAAGCGCAATCCGTCATGTGAATCATGACGAATTTCGCCTAGTTGATTGAGGCTCCGTGCATGATGGTGTGAATCGCCTTCAAGTCCTCGTTGAAGAGCGATGTGTGGCTGCCATCCCGGGGGCGGAGGATCCGGGTGAGGATGTAGAGGAGGAGGCGCTTCTCCGGTGGGGCCGAGTTGATTATCGGCGCGCCGCTGTGGTGGATGAGGTTGGTGATCCCGAGCTCTTGAATGACCACCGCCTCATTGTTGAGGATCCAATCATCGCCACTGTACGTCGTGATGTTGTCACCGCGGATGGGCAGCCCTACGACCCGAGCAAAGGTAGGCTAATCAATCTCTATGTCGTAGAGATTGATGCTACTGCGGATGGTGTCCCCGTCACGTCGGAGATTTGAGTAGAAGGCCCGGACATAGGCGGGATTGTAGGAGGTGCGGCTCTTGGAGACGAAGGGCCACAAACCCGACGTTTGGAGTTGGTTGTCGAGGTCGTGGTACCCCTTTTGTTGGGGGAACAACTCCGGGAGCACCCGAGGCAGACAGATCAGGCGTTTGGCAAAGTGCGTGAGGAACCGGGTGAGTTCCTCCTCGGAGCCAAACTCGAGAAAAGATCCGTCCATGTAGGGAAACGGCGGGGGCGCAGAGCTTGAGGCTTCGACGGTGCTTTTCTTCTTGGAAGCTTTGCTCTTGGACTTTCCTCCGATCATGATTGAATCGTTCATGAAGAAAGAGTGATGAATTATGCAAAAATAGGCTAGAGGAATGAAATATGGATGTTAATTGTGATTAGGAATGACCAAATATGATGTATATATAAGGAAAGGAGAAGAAAACCGTGGGGATTCAAAAAAATATGGCCGTTGGGCATTAAATTCGGTGCCCAACGGCCATAGTTTTTGAATTTCAGAAGCCTTCCCAGCGATGGTAGGATCTACCCATCGATGGGAAGATCGCTACTGGTCAGCGAGGAAAAAAATCAAAGTTCCCTTCCCAGCGATGTTTAGGTTCTCCCATCGATGGGAAGGGGGTTACTGGAAGGCCGTTTAAAATTTTAAAAAATAGTGTCAAACACCCAACGATGGGGAGGAAGTTCCCATCGATGGGTGGGGAGGTTCTGGAATTTTTTTTTGACAAAAGTCCTTCACCTAGCGATGGGTAAAGGGTTTCTGGAAATCCGTTAAGTGTTCTTTTAAAAAATAGAGTCAATCACCCATCGATGGGAAGAAGTTCCCATCGATGGGAAGAGGAGTTCTGGAAAAGAGAAACTTCCCTCCCAGCGATGGTGTGAACCCACCCATCACTGGTTCCCCCTGACTTCCGGATTCCTTCACCTCGAACCGTCCCTACAAAAAAGAGTTAGAGAACCCTCCGACGCCCAAGTTAGTAAACGTTCAAACATAGATAAAGAAGTAATAAAATGCACAAATTAGATCATCGTGGAGTCAAGGATTCCGAGTTCACTACGATTGCGGAAGAATGACTCTTTCTCTAACAGTTTTGTGAAAATGTCGGCTAATTGGTTGTGTGTTTCAACAAACTCAATTTCGACATCACCTTTGAGAACTTGATGTTGGAACACACTTTTTTATTACATTAAACTAAAGTCGTGTTCACTTCTGACAGGTTTTGATAATTGCCAAACCGCCGTGGATATGAAGAGTTTCATTGAACAACTCGAGGTGTGAAGAATGGCATGGAACTAGACCAAAATACTCAAGGACAAAGATCAAGAATTGAAGACTTAGTTGAGTTGGTCTTATTGTGATCAAAACTGACAATCAATTCAAGTCTCGGTTCTCAAAGAGTCAAAATAATTTTACAAAATCATAAAACATTTTTTTGTGCATCAAAATAAACTTTTTTGATAAAGTTTTAATATCTTAAAAACCCTGGTCCTTGCCCAGACCAAAAACCACCTCGGTCGGCGTTCGGCGTCAGCGTCCGGCATTAGGGGTTCGGTGTTCGGTTTTCGGCGTCCGAACCAACTCGGTGGTTTTCAATTTTTTAAACCTTGTTTTTACCTCTGGGCATATTTAAAAGGTTCCCAAATAATTATTTTATAAAAACCACTTTTGTATTTTGGTCAATCGGTCTAACACGTGAAAAACGGTCAAAACCATACACACGTGATAAACGACCTTGAAGACTCGGTTTTTATCAAACAAGTCTTGGTTTCACTATTTTATACCATATACAATGTTTTTCAAACTTGGTTTTTACTTTTGGGAACACTTCGTTTTTGGACCTCGGGTTTTTTTGGGTTAAGTTTCTCATCGGATGGTTTTAGCCAGCTGAAAATCGATTGTCAGGTAATGACATTCGAATATTGGCTGCTGTAGTTCTGAACCTCAAGTTCAGAATCACCCAATAGTCGACTGACACTTATTGTCACTCGACTGTCTGCGTTTTACTTCAAACCCAGAAACTTCTGAGAGGCCTGATAGTCGAGTGACACAACTTGACAATCGACTATCAGTGTTACCGTTGTCCTCCAACGGATAGAATTTTAAGTTTTTGGACAGGGAATCTTTTGATAATCAATTATCAAGACTAGACAATCGACTATCACCCTGTATCTCTAAAAAATTTGTCTTCATCCTGTTGGAAATTCTAGCAACAGGTTTATCCCATTTTAGGCTAAAAATTTATTGACTAATCTACAAAAACAATAACGGTAAAAACTACTAAACTAGTAACTTCGTAAGCCGGCTCCGATACCACTGTTGGGAAACGAGGCTTAGATAACGCAGCGGAAAACAAAATTTATAGTCCAAAACTCGATTCCACCCAAGAACAACTTACGTAAATTACTAGCTATAGTAAGAAAAAATGGAATTGCCACTTTTGCCTCTTGCCTCCTTGCCAGCCCCTACCAAAACTCCTCTACTTGCATCGCGGTTTGCATACTTCGGAGGTTGCATAGGTGTGCTTGAACGAGGCCTCAGGATCTAATTTGATGTGCTAGCAAGTTTAATTTAGGATAGTAAAAACTATAATAATACTACTTTGGGAGTAATAAATATATAATAAAATATTTATCTTATAAATATTTCTTTATAATATTTTGTGTATATTTCTAACACTTTAGAAAAATAACTTGTAACACAAAATAATAATTTTCTCCTCTCTCTCTCTATATGGCCGAAAATCACACACCAAAAATGGGGAGGGATACTCACACTATATAATACAATGTATTAAGAAAATGCTAGGAAATTGCTTAGGGACAAAAACAACTTAGGCTTAATTCATTGTTCCCAACCAACACAACAAGACAAGTATAATTTTGTTAATCAAATATTTGATTATAAAATCAAATATATCATTAGGTGGAATATCAAAATATGTTTTGTATATTTCCCTTTAGAATTTCGGCCATAGCATGTTAAAATACATTACATTTTATTTTTACATCAATAATTATCATATAATTAAAATGATGAAAATAAAAGTAATATATATATATATATATATATATATATATATATATATATAAAATAAAATAAAATTTGTTTTGTCAAAATATAATTATCATATAATTAAAATGACACAAACAAAATATAATTTTAAAATATATATGTACTTTCGAAATATATATATATATATATATATATATATAAAATTATCACAACTATATATTTAATATTACTCCTACTAGTGTAGTATACTACTCCCTTACAAGTCCTAAGTGTGTGACCCTTTAGGTATCCATAACACTGGCAATGATATTAATATAAATTAATACCATAGATAATAAGCGGTATCTAGCAACACATTATTATCCCCAGATTATGAAAAAGACGTTCATCTCATCATGATTTAACATAAGGCATGGGATGTGTATCCTTCTATAGTTAAATCAGCTGTTACTGAATCTCAAGTAGACTGGCAGGGATCAGATATTTATCAGTCTCTAGATAGCGACATATCTGGGCATGGCCATGCACTTTCCCAAGTCCTACTATTCAGTGGGCCCATTGACATTATACTTCTATACAGTAGAAGGGACAGATCCTGTATCTGTTGATCACATCTCTAAATATGCTTAGCGGCATACTCAACGCATAACTGTACGTCTACCAGTATTTCAGATAGCATTAGTTATGAATCAAAGCATACAGCCCCACATATCAGAGAATGTAATAACTTCAAGTCTGAGGATAGTTATAGCAAGGTCGATTTGAGAATACTAATAAACACATTACTGTAGATCCATGCAGTATTCTCAAGATGGGTCAATCCAGCCACATATTATCAATATAATATGCACCTACGTACAGATTAAGATATCACAATACCTATAGTCTATGAGACGCAACTATCTCATCTCGTACGTACTAGTCTTGATACGTTATGGCGTCCGTATTATCATAAAGTGCGACTAGGGATATTCTAGACACAGCCTTCGTCAAGAAGTAACAGTCTCATAATCAGAACATCGTAGTCCTCATCTATGTTACTGAAGCGCTATCGTCTATGGACTGAAGCTATGTTATGTTACTCGAGATATAAAACATACTTCAAGGCCTTTCATTCATGATAAAGTGTACAGTTACATAGGTATTTGATTTCCGCTAGGGCACCTAAATACAACAATCTCCCACTTGCCCTAAGGCCAATCAAGCTTTTCTCGAATGCCCATGGACCACGTATGACTCTCGTGTTTAGGCTTTCCCAAAGCCTTCGTAAACGGATCCGCGATATTGTCGTCTGTACCTATCTTGCAAATCTCAACGTCCCCACGTGCAACGATTTCTCGTATGATGTGATAACGTCTAACGATGTGTTTGGTCTTCTGGTGAGACCGAGGTTCTTTCGCTTGTGCAATTGCCCCATTGTTGTCGCAAAACAACGGTATAGGGTTCTTGATGCTAGGAACCACTCCAAGCTCAGTAATAAAATTCTTGAGCCACACACCTTCCTTGG